AGGGGCGTAGGCCTTAGAATCGCTTAAATAGAACGGGCGGAGGAAGCGGAGCAGCATTCGTCTGAGCCGACTCTCCATTTCCTAGTGTATCGTGACCTGTGATCAGTTTAATTGAAGTTCGCCATGAATAGACCGTTTTCGAGGGATGATAACGAACCAGTTCACCAAGTTGCGATAGTTCCGGTCGACTTTCCGGACCGGGTCTTCTCGCATGCTGAAGCCGAGGAGTTCGGTGATGCGTTAAACGAATGTGTTGTTAATTATACGGAGGCAAGGAAGAGGAAATCGCTTGGGTTCGTCCGACCGAGTTTTCTATCATTTTTCCGGAAAAACGGGGGTTTTCTGATGTCATGCGAAGACGAGGTCACGGTGAAGTGGCTCAAAGTCGCTATCAAGTTTGTCAAATTAACGAGCGGATGCAAACTAAAGGTGGACGACACGGTGGTGCTGGACAATCGTTTCTTGGTGGAGGGACGAGGCTCACACTCGAGGTTCACGGGGGCGAATATCATAAGGAATCTACAAAGGTTCAACAACGATCTGGATGTTTCAAGGTGGAGGCTGGTACGGGAGAAACACACTAGGTCTGGGCTAATAATTACACTAGAAATGGAGGGTCGGTCAGTAGGAATGATTAGAAGGAAAAGGAATCGGTTATCTTTGGATCAAGCCGGGGTTCATCGATTCACCATTTTGACGGTGGTGCCGGCGAGTAACGTAAGGCCTCCGAGGGAGCCAGTAGAGATTGAAGTGACGGAAGATGACTTCGATGCGAACCAGTTGGATCCGGTTGAGGTTCTGGCCGACGAGGCGGGTGCGATGGTCCGATTGAATGATTCAGCCAACATCGAGGAAGTCCTGACGCAGAAAGGGGCGAATTGCTCGTTCGATGCGGCAGGGGATGAATTCATTCTCTCCGCGGATCTGCAATGCTTTGATGGAATGGAGGTCGAGGTGCCGAATGAATCGGTTGTGAATACGAATGTTGGGCCACCGTCAAGGAATATGTCGACGCCGGTCAGATCAGCTGTCACGATGGAGGAAGGATTCTCGCATGGGAAGGAGAAGGTCAAGGGAAAGCAGGACTTAAAGGAAACGTCTGTGGATAAGTCGGTGACCAGAGAAGGAAGCGCGGATTCGACGGAGTCGGTGTTAAGAATTTCTCTGCCTCTGGAGGAGCCGACGGAACCGGTACCGCCGCCGATCAGAATGTATGCAAAAAAGGAAGGAGGAAGGAATAGCCACGGAAGTGGACATAATAAGTCGAAGGGAGACAGGTCAGTTGAGTAGAATAAGAA